GGTTCTCATCCCTCCCACAGGGTCTCCAGCCACCTGCCCTTCCCGAGAGGAGAGAGCTCTGGGCCTTCTTCCTGCCAGTCTGGTCTTCGAGTGCCTTCAGGACAGATAGACCTTGGCACAGGCTGTCCCGAGATTCCTGCGATGCCTGTCTGTTCCTGCCTTCTGTGGAGCATGGCACCCACAGGATTCCAGGACGGATCGTAGACCCGAGCCTCCAGGAGGGTGCCCTGTGCTGCTCACTGCACAGTCCCTCTCAGCTCCCCTGCCACCCAGCCTCCAAGGCCGGCTCCCATCCCGGAAATGCCCTCGGGCACCTGGATGAGGCCATCCCAGAGCGGGACCCAACTGTGCCACCCACCAACCCTCCCCCTGTGCCCCCCGCCCGCTCGCATGTCCTGCTGCCAGGGCAGACTGTAGAATGTCTGTGCCCCAGATCCACGTGGAAGAAGTGGGTGCAGAAGAGGGGGCAGGAGCAGCCGCACCACCCGATGACCACCTCCGGAGCCTGAAGGCCCTCGCCGAGAAACTGAGGCTGGAGACCCGCAGGCCCTCCTACCTGGAATGGCAGGCCAGGCTGGAGGAGCAGACCTGGCCCTTCCCGAGGCCGGCTGCGGAGCCACAGGCGAGCTTGGAGGAGGGCGAGCATGGGGGGCAGGAGCCCTTGCTCCCGCTGAGAGAACCCGGGCAGCACGCCCCTCCTGCCAGGAGTGCCAGCCGGGGCACCACACCCCTGTCCACTGGCAAGCTGGAAGGCTTTCAGAGCATCGATGAAGCTATAGCCTGGCTCAGGAAGGAACTGGTGAGTGGCTGCCCCCGAGAATCCCCAGAAAAGAGAAGATGCCACTGTCTCTCTGTCTCCGTGTCTCTCTCTGTCCGTCTGTCTATGTCTGTCTCCCCACCCCCACCATGTATTTATTCTCCTCTCTCTACCCACCAAGTGCACATCTGTAATGTTCCCATGAGTTGAGCGCCGGCCTCATTTGTATGTGGTTGGGGGGACCCAGGTGTCATCAGCCCCTAATTGCAGACACTAATGGAGGAAGCGGGTGTTTTCTGGGAGAACTTGAACCCATGTTAAGGTGTCCCCCTCTCCCCCCAACACTGCTCCCAGTACTGGAGTCTCAAACACTTCTCCCTGGACTGTGAAGGGGGCTCCTGGGGTGTGACTGCCCCTCCCTCTGCGCTGGAACCTCCCCACCCTGCTGTCCACCCCAGCTGCCTGCCGCTCCGGGGACCACGCATTCTGCAGGTGGGCGGCGGCCTCTCCCTGTGCTGGGCGCTGGCTGGGTGGCTCCATGAGGCACAGTGGCTGGGGTGTGGCTGTGCGGGGCACTCCTGTAAGGAGCTGGCTCGGCGTGGAATGTGCTCCAGTGGTAAGGAGAGCCTGCGGGATAGGTCCTGCCTGGGGAGAAGCTTGGTGAGGAGGCTCAGAGGAGGAGTTGGCTCAGAAGTCAGGGCGGGCCCCGGTGCGAGTGAAAGGCACATTGTGTTTGAGCTGGGACCGCAGCAGTCACTTTCCTGCCCATAGGCAAAGCAGATTCCCAATAGGAGCATCTTTTGTGCATGGTGACTCAGCCTGAGAACAGGGTGGGGGTGCAGAGCTGGGTGCCCTGTCCCTTCCCACCCCCCAGGGGAGAATCACCTATGTCTGGCATGACAGCCTCTCAGCAGCACCAGACATGAAGCTAACCCTCCCCCAGCTCTCAAGCCCTGCCTCATCCCGTCCCCTGAGGCCCAGGTGACACCTGCGAGTCAGGCCACTCTGGCCACAGGTGAGCCGGCCATCAGGGGCAGCTGCCTTCCAGAGCCGGCAGTGGCTTCCAGAGCCTTCCAGAGCCTGCAGGGTAGGCTGAGGCCTGCTTGGTTTGTTTTGCAGAATCCTGAAAACTAAATCCCCATGAGACCTGGAATGCCTCAGGGGCTGAGAAAATTCACTGGGGTTTGGAGTGGGGTGGGGCTCAGGGACACAGGGATCTGATTGATTAATTGGAAACCTGTTTGGGTTTTAACACTTGATGCCTAGAGTGCTTCTCAGAATACACCATTCTGTTATGTCCGTCTCTAGTAATGAGATGGTGCACATGCTGTCGGTTTCGGAGAAGATGAGGCACCTGCGGATTTGAGCCACATCTCTGGGGTGCTCTGTCACCCCCGGTGCTCTTGGTGGGGGGTATAAGAGGTGAGGGGAGATGGACAGTGCCCCAGGACAGACCGCTCACAGCCCCCAGCTGCTCTTTGAATGGCTGAGGCTAACCCACTTTGATTTGCTTTCTTAAGGAGGAACAAAAAACATTCCTGTTCATCAAAGATACAATTCGTTGGTTTCAAGTTCATTTGAGATTTTACTGCTTGTGGGAGCTGAGGCTTTTACTTTTTAAGGAAGTTAGCATTCCGCATAGCACCCAGTAGGATGGAGCTTCCTAGAACTTGTCCTGCTCATCATCCTTTAGTCCCCTCATTCTGGCTGTGTATTAGAACCACCTGGGGAGCTTTTAGGACTCCCAGAGCCTAGGCCACACTGAAGACCAATCCAGTGAATGTCTGGGGGTAATAACCACACATTTGATTTTTAAAGCTCCTGCGTGCTTCTAATGTGCAGCCTGGGCCTTGAATCTACAAGTCGTGCTCACATCTCCTGCCAGGCCTGTGAGCCAAGCAGCATGAGGTGCCCTGCCCAGTGTGCCGGCCAAGCGTGGAGGGTGGCCTAGGGTGAGGCTCAACCATGGGTGATGTGTAGAGCCAGTCTCCATAGGCCAACAGCAGAGCAGAAATTCTCAGGACTAATCTGACTACCAAAGACTGTCATACATAGGGTAAAGGGAATATTAGCATTATTAAAAATGCTTTATGTTTGCACTGTTTCCACTCCTTTAGCCACTTCCCTGTGCCACCAAGGGTGTGTCCTGTGTGCCAGGCAGTTTACAGGCATTACTCACCTCTTCTAATTGTCAGATGACCTTCCCGACACCCCTACTTTTCCAGAAGAGGAAACAGGTTCAGAGAAGAATGCAGTCATACGTGAGAAAGTTGAAATTTAAACCCTGGCCCATTTGGTCGCATTGCGATTGTTCTGCTCAGCCACCATATGACATGGCATCCTCCACAGGCAATCGATTTTACTGTTTGATTCCTAAAATGTAAATCACAAAAATGTCAGCAGGCAACAGAATGCATGGGGGCAGGGGCAGAGAGAGAAACAGGATTGAATGAGTTCCAGCCTCATTCTGTGATCTCCGATTCTTACAACAAAACTGCGTGATTGCCCTCACTGTTTCCATTTTATGGATGAATAAACTGAGGTCCACAGAAGTCAGGTGACTTCCTTAGGATGACATGATGAGTGAGCAACAGAGCTGGGGCTGGAACTCATACAGAGTAGAGAGCGATGGGGAGAGAGGTAGCAGGTGAGGCTGGTGAGGTGGTCCAACACAGAAGGTTCCATTGAGCATGCGCAAAGAGCAGCGACCGAGGAGATGCTCCAGAAACCATCCTGGTTGCAGGATAGAGAATCTCTCGGAGCATTGACTCCCAAACTCTAACGTGCCTGTAGGTCACTGGGGCTCTTGTGCAGATGAAGATTCTGGTCCCTTTGGTTGGGAACGGAGCCTGTGCTTTCAAATTTCCAACAAGCTCTAGGTTGAAACTATTCTGCTAATGCCTGGGCCACACTTAGAGTATCAGGGAATGAAAGGAGGGCAAGACCAGGGCCAGGGGATCAATAACGAACCTCAGAGGACAGACCCAGGGATCCCCAAAAGGGAGCTCTCTGAGCCCTGTCTCTGTCATAGCTGCCCATGTGGCTTGGGGCTCCATCGGTGAATGGGCCTCAGTGAACGAACTCACAGCATCGCACTCTGAGTGGTCCAAGAACCACACTCGTTCAGAAGATTGCAACTCTGAGGCCCAAAGCAGACCAGACGCAGACTGGCAGACCAGACACAGACTGGCAGGCAGGCAGGCTGGACGTGCAGTTCCGCCTGCTGCCAGGATTAGACAGCAACTTGCAAAACCCTTTGATTGGATTGAAAACTGAGAGTTCAACGTTTGAGAACAAACACATTCTGCTCTATTTAAGTCTCAGTCAAAACGTTAAGCTTAATGCCATGGTTTCCCTCATTCATCGTCTTCACTCATTGAAGGCACCTTTAAAAATTAACCTGTTCTTTAACTCAGTAAAAGTGATTTGCATAACCTTTTTTGTTGTATTTTAAGCCCAGAAGCAGGTTGTCTCTATGCCTGGGCAAGCCCTTCCTACAGATTTGTTAGGCTCAAGGGCAAATATGTTGTTTGTTCTCACGTGGCCAAGGAAATCGATTGGAAATCTGCAATTCCCTTAGTCGTGTGGATATTTTCCATAACTCAATGGGAGTTTTGACCACAGGAGAAGGCAGACTCTAACCTGTCCTCTGACCACCTAGCAGCTCTCCCAGGAGGCAGTGGTCAATGTCACCCCATCCAGAGGCAGGCAGTGCTGGGTCTGGAAGCATCGTCTTAGTCTGCTCCCGCCTCCTGCAAGACCAGCTGAAAGGCAGAATGACTCCCTGACTGTGGCTGATTTCTGAGGCTGGGAAGGATCCTAACGGCTCTCAGGGGTCAGCTCTCCCTCTCAGCTTTCAAGGAAATGACTGTCACTCCTGACGCCCCCCAGGGACCGGCAAGTAGATCAGATTTTCCTTCAGGCTAATGTGTTCGGGATACAAGGCTGGTGGAGATCCCCCAAGCCTCTTAGAGTGACTCCCAGCTAAGACGGCCTGACCTTGGGCTCCCTGGGCGGAGTTGGAGATGTGTGGCTCTCTGGCTGTGGCAGGCAGGCCTGCGGCCACCTGACTCCTCCAGGCAAGGCCCAGTCTCTCCGCTTCTGGGACACTGGCTTAAGGGAGTTGCCATTGTGCAGCTGCAGTTCTAGGCTGCTCAGGTCACCAGAAGGTCACAGCCCCCAGCTTTCACCTTCCAGGCAGCCAAGTAGCCTGGTTGGGAGTGGGGGGAGGGCATTGCTTCAGGAAGCAGGGGAGCTAGAAAGAGCATGACCTGGAGCTGTGGGATTTTCTCCTCTCTAGCTGAGTCGGGAATTCAGAGCATTCGCACACGCCTCTGCCCGGGCTTGGGTCCATCAGCCAACTCCCTGGGATGGAGCCCTGGGCACTCAGCACAGGGGAGCAGGGACCCTCCTTTCTGTTTTCTCTCTTCAGTCACACCCACAAGTCCCCCTTGCCAACCTGGAAGACAGAGAAAAAGGGCAATAAAGTCTTCTGCGTGGTTTATGCAGTGCCAGAATGAAGACCAAAGCATTCTGGCTTCCTGATGGGCAGTTTGCAGTGAGAAGCCCTGGGCGCCAACTGATATTTTTCTTTGAGTTTCACACAGGTGTGTGATCCCTGCAGACATCCTGCTCCTGCCGCCCGCCCTCCCCTGGCACCAAGAAGGTGTTTATGGCTGTTAGAAAAAGGGAGAACCTTGACAAGTTTTCATCACTTAGGGCCTGTCACTTAGGTCACAGGAGGCCTGTGACCTAAACTCAGCTGGCCCCCCTGTGGCCACCGCTTGGCTTCGAGGGGGCCGCCCTTTCCCCGTTAACCCTCTGTTGCCCGTGCTGCGTGCTTGGTATGCAAAAGAGTGGTATGTCCAGGGACAGCCCTCTGAGGCTGGTGTCATCCATGTGTGCTAAGCAGTACGGCCAAATGGCAGGTCATACTCCCCAAGCATCTTTTGATGGGAAATGGGCGATGCAGCCAGGTTGATACCCCCCATCTAGGGAGACTTCTATATACACTATCCTTCGTGAAGGCTTGGAAGTATTTG